AAAGTTAATAAAAATATTTAAGTATATAAATCATTAAGTAGCATAAAATACATTTATTAACTAATAAACTAATCACTTATTAATCAATTAATTTAAATTCAATCATAATTAACAAATGACAAATGTTTAACCTTTTTAAAGTACTATATTAATTTGTAAAAATACCCAAATGCAAAAACTAGTTTTTTGTAAATAATATATATACCAAAAAGTAAGTCTACGCCGTAGATTTACATCAAATTTTTCTGTACCTTTAATATGGTGCTTCAAAAAACAACTATTTATATCTGAATCATTAAGTTTCATAAAATGTTATGAGTCATCTGAAAGCAATAAATGAAGGTAAATCTGATTATCTTAACAAAACAGTATATATGCAGAACAAAGTACATGCATACTATATTATTTTACAATTTGTCTTAATAATAATAAACTAAGATTCATTTAGGTATGTTCTACAAGAATGCCTAATTGTGTAATAACATTCACATATAAATATCAATACTGAGTTTTACATTCTTTAAATGTAGAAATGGAATACTCCATCAAATGTAACATATGTTTAAAAAATACTCGTTTAAGAACATAAAAATATGCTGTTTCTATGTTTTAATTATAAGGATACTAATAGTAAGACCTGTATAATTGTGAAAATTATAATGTTAATACTTTTAAAAAAGAATAGCAATATCAATAATGTTTTAATCATAGTTTAATACAGTACTAATAATTACAATCATTTTGAAAACACACATTATGATTTTAAAAAGTAAGTTACTCAAGTTAGTGGAAATACATTTTTTACAAGTAAAATTTACATCAATATAATTGAAATATAAATTCTTTAAAACTTTAATGTAAGTTTGATTAATTTAAAATAATGCAGAAATATTTTATAATACTCATATCAGAAAATAGTATTGATTAAAATTTGTAAATACAAGAAAACATATTTTTACGATTATTCATATGTATGTACATTGTTAAAGAACTTGTTTTTACGTTACGCGGAAGTGTTGTATAGTTGAACGATGATCTCATTGGTTAACGTAATTATTCTCAAAAACTAACAGTTAATCTTACTTGAAGTATATATAGTGTCAAAACGCTATTGTAACAAAACTTCAAAAATTTTACTCATCGGTAACTACGAACAAGTATTTAGGGTGTGGCTTTTACCTTCTTTTAAAACAGAAGTAAGTCCAATTCGATCTTCTCGCGTAATGGTACCCGTTCGGTTTGGAGCTAGTAACCAACTGAAGCTAAGTAACTACCGCTTGTCACACATCTTTGCAGGATGGTGGGAGCATTAAATGAAGAATGTATGTGTACGTGTACAGTATAAGAAAGAAAAGAAAGTTCAATATATAGTACAATGTGCATGCATACGAAAATTTAATATACAGTTACTAAAGTATTTTACAATTAATTACAACTTGATATTTATTGTGATACAGCTTCTTTTTCTTAAACTATGTATACATAACAAATATTATTATGTATTTATTTGCTTCTAGTAATGAACATTCACGATAAATGTAAAGAAATATATTATTCGTGTGTATAATAAAAAATACTTCAATCTACAAATTTATTATATTTTTATAATTTGTAAACCATTTGTAGACATGATGCGGTAGCATAAAATATGTATTGTTGAAATGACATACATACAGAGTTGCACTGAATCATGACCACGAGACTAAAACTAACACAAGCGCGCGGTAACGGCAGTTCTATGTGAAATGAGATGCGCTGCGCAAGCCATGCTCAAAATTCATTTTGCGATCAGTCGTCCAAAAAATTGCATCGAAATGGTTCCGGCGTTTATTTGTGTCGGTAAATTGGTAACTGACATACCGACATTTTAGTTTATATTATGCTTCACGAAGAATGGTTTTTGTTTATAACCAATAGATAAAAATATTGTTTAAATATATGCAGTGCTGCGTGCAATGTTACAAATCATAGAAATGAAGAAATACAATTGCAAGTAATGTAATAACACTATAATTCTGTTAGAAGAAAAGATATTGACACGGTGATTGAAGTGTCACAAGATTGAAATTATTTATTAACAAAATATAGATTTCTTTATTGCCATATTTTATTTTAAATATAAACACTGTTAACGTACTTCCTGTGATTCTGAGTATATGTAATGTTGGGATGATGCTTGTATAACTTGTATAAAGGATGCCGACTCACGTACTAAGTATTTACTTGTTTATTCGAAATATAATGAAGTACTCTGAGGAGGAGATCCGTACTAAGAGCTTATCTTGGTTAGTTTCAAAAAGTCTCCTACAAAATCTAATTTTGAACTTCTAGTCATAACAGTCAACTACATATGTTATAAAGAAAGGAAAAAACTTTAAATAAAAATGCTCTCAAAAATAGTATCGGATAAGCAAGGTGTACACACCCGACACTTTTAGAAACAAATTATATCTAGATTTTTAACAAAACAAGATTTCTTCTTCATAATACAGATTTATTACAGGAGGGAAGCTGTCACCAGTTTGCTGATACCAAATAAACGCAATAGCCGCTACGATGCGAACTGTTGCACGATTGATATCCGAATGACTTCCGCACATATCTCTTGCGCATCGCATGCCATTTCATATACTTAGAATTGCCGCCGTAACATGTTTGTTTAGTTCTGGTATCATGACACGAATCAATGCAACTTAATAGTGAGTCACTATACATGTTCTATTTCACACACATTTTTGACATTATAATCATAATTATTATTGATAAATATTACTCATAAGGTATATACTTCATTAATAAATTCAGTAACACAATCAGAATCCTATATCTTGTTTACGTAAGAATACATGCACATTATTATCACCGGGAAAGTCAGCTTTTAATAATTCAATCTTACCCAGAATTTTTTGTAGTAAAAAGATAAATTTTGTTCAGTGTAAAAAGTTGCCTAAAATTATATTATCAAAACAACAAAATATTTTCAGGTGACTATGTACTATGTAATTTAAATTGCTCCTAAGTGGACATAAAATTGCTATTGTCATGTACCAAGAATTCTTTATAAAATTTATAATTACTGTTAAGAGTTCTAAATTTTGAACTTTTAACTTTATATATGTATGTTACATCATTTATATTATAATTTAAACAAATTTTCATTAGTTAAATTTAATCGTATTATATCAGACTCAATACGAAAACTGTATCTTTTTAATGTTATTAACATTTATATTCAGCTAATATTTAATTTACTTATTGATATATTTAATGCGCGATGAAAAAAATTATTTAATAAATCATATTTAAGTATGAAACAAGTAGTGTGTTGCACAGTATTGATATAATTTACCAATTATATACATGAATGAAAAACAGTTTTAACAGAAACGTATACTACACATATACAATTACTTAACAAACACGAAAGTATTATAATACTATTAATTTATCACTGTTTCATGATTTGTACAAATACAAAATTATTAATAATTTGTTTGACAAAAACTTTCATTAATACAGAAAAATATCAATTTTGTGTTATTGATTGAAATTGTTAGTTTTTAAATCCTATGCACGTACTATGTATTTTGAAGAATATAAAGTATTAATAACATAATGTCTTAACTTATTTTATCACATTTTATCATAACTTTCCAACGTTTAACATTAATAAATGCCAATTATAAATTAATAAACACTATACCTCAAATTTTTCTTAAATGTCACGTAATAACAAGTATATGTATATCAGTCTACCACAATGGTCCCCGGATCACTGTAATGTCTTTCGTCTGGAATAAGTGTAACGTTCGTATCCCCACTACATTTTCACCTCGCTTCAGCAAAAAACCTGACCAATACTTTATCCCGCTCTCTCTCAGATCCCTCCTCAAGTGACGTACATAAACATTGTATGCTCGAGAACGTATTGACATCTTTTACCCCGGTTTAATGTAACTTCTTGGTCCCGAACACCCTTACACTGATCCGGGGAACACCATATATAAATAGTTTTTCACGTTATTTTCTCACCACTTTAGGATATTGTTATAATATGAATTCCGTATCACCGTCACTACTTTTTAAAAGTCCTTTGAAGGTACAGTTATATATATACTTAACAATTGACAAGAGGTGTTATATAGGTGATTGCGCATACGTCGAGTAAACTAACTGCAATAAAAGAGAGGAACGAGATACGTGTAGAGAACAGGAAAAGGATACGTTGGTGGGAGTGATGATGTATTACATAAAGAATGCTGTAGTGTAACAAGAAGAGGTTTGCTACTTGGAAATCATATTCATAGGAACGAAACGTAATGATATTGCTCACCCGCTTAACAACTATTCCTCGTATGATTAATCCTACTTTACTGATGACGTAGATCACACACATTAGTTACAAATATGCGTATTGAATCATGGAGGTATATGTGTATTGAATCATGGAGGTATATGTATATACTCAAATGCTTTCAAATTATATGTTGACTGCTGAAAAAAATGCTGTAATGAATTCGAAAATACTCTCGTTCCAGTGGTAGATTGTCATAATTGTACATGTTAAATTTAAAAAAAACGTACACAAATAAGCAATATTTGCAAAATATTTCTTGAAAACTTTGATTATATAAATACTGTAGACTCCCTCTTATCTGATCCCTCTTTAATCGGTGCAATCCACTCTTTGTATTGTTTTCCAGTCGGGAGCACGCCGATTAGAATAATGTTGCCTGGATAGTAGGCAGCAGTAGAAAAATTACTGTTACAAACGCCTAAAACGAAAATCATATCGAGGCATTCTCTGTTAGTGTATCTTATCGTCGTAATAATTCGATGAAATCTGATAGCTCAAATAAAATTCCAGAGAACATTGCGTAGATATTCTATGCAAACACGACAAGCGTTATCAAAAACTCGGTTTTCTCGAAAACTAAGCCTCGAATAAAAAAATTGTATTCTATTTTTTATTTTTATTTTTTCATAAGGAATCACTTCATGCTCACTTGAACAAAATTTTTGATCACACCCTGTATACTCGCTCTACGAACCAACGTTTTTCACGCGTTCTCAGAAACATTCTAAACGTTACACACTCTGTTACATTGCATTAACATAAAGTAACAAGTATGAATAAGTGTAAACGAAATGTGTTAAGCATTGAAACAAAATGAAAAGTATTGAAACGTATAGATAATGGGAATGAATGATTGGCGGAGAAATCGAAAATTCTTTTAACACTTCATGCAAACAGAGTCAGAAAAAGTGCTCTCAGGCGGATACACAATGAAATAACCTAAAAATGAAATAGTTGACGATGCATTATGAATATACTTAGTTCATGCTAGAAAGACAAAGTGCAAGTGAATTTTCTAAAGAATTTTTAAACATTACACACAAGGAAAGTCTTATCCCGGAACAAGTCTAGAATTTAAACAAAACAGGTATAAATTTTAAGTTTCTTCCGAAGAGAGCGTTAGCAACACCACAAGATACATCAGCTACTGGTTTTAAAATGAATAAAGAGAGAGTGGCTTTTTCGAAAAATGCTGCTGACAGTCATAAACTGCTTCTCTTAGTTATAAAAAAAATTAGCTAAGCTAAATGTCGAAAACACCCCAAGCCGAAAATTATTCGAACGCTTCTAGATTCTCGCAAATGTATGTATTTTCTAGAAGACTGTGATTGCGTGGCTAAGCGTCGCCCGCCAAATTACACGTCCGGTGGTCTTGTAAAAAGTGACACGTATCATTCTGACCGCGCGAAGCAAATCTAGGGGAAACCCCAGAGGCAAGTCACCTTCATACGTAAATAGAAGCTGTGCTGTTTTTTTTTTTTTTTTAATTGTATAGTTAAAAAGTTATACTCTCACAGAGTAAAGTGCAACGATTGTCTCATTCTTTCTGCAAAACGATTGCAAATAGTAAAAATGAAAATACACACACTTTATATAATTTTTTTTGTGTAATAAAATTACGAAGTTAGTTTTTTGGTCGTTATTTTTTAAAATTGTTTAAACGATAATTGTTCAAACAAATAAAAAAAATGTTATTAAAAGAAGTACCTTCAATCCCGTATATTAAATATACCATTGAAATTTTTACTGTTTACAATGGTTTTGCAGAAGGTTAAAATAAGGTTAGGTTAGGTAAGTAAGAGTACTTTACAAGCGTACATCAATCTTTAAAAAACAAAGCATGACACGGTTTGTTGTTTGTTTGTTTGCCAAAATTCGCACACCCGGTTCGTCAGCTCAGAATTTGTAAAAATGGTTAGAAACGCATTTTGGGGGGATTTAAACTTATTTTTTTTGTAAATCTGATGTGGTAACACATTTTTGCTTGCAGATTTGAATTCAGCGCATAAAAAACTGTAAGAAATTATTTTTCTTTCCCAGCCGCCAAATCATGCAGATCTATGTAATCTATAAATAGTGTTTCAAATTTATTTGAGTTTGTTATTATTAAAAAATCACACTTTAACTTTTCTCCATTTTCATAGTTGTAAATAATCAAATTACGTTCTGCAATAGTTGTTTGCCTTATTTTGGTATTATTTTTACTTGATTCACACTAAACTGCGATTGAATGATTCTAAAAAACATTTGAATAACGACGAAAGCAAAGGGTTGTTTGACCAATTGTTAAACATTAGAAAATCGGTTATTTTCCAAATTATAAAAGTTCTACTGTGTACGATTTTTAGTGACTAGCGATTTCTGTACATAATTTTCGTATTTGTTTAATTTATGTATGTAATAAAGCTTTTAATTTGCAGTCATTAAATATTGAATAAAGAGATATTATGGTATCTAAATTTCCTTCGTATTAAACACACGATAACAATATTTTTCAAACAAAAATCTAATAAATGTAACGGTGTACGATTTTAAGTGCATAATAGTACATAAATTTACTTATTAATGTATTTACATATATATAAATACACAAATAAATGCAATATTGAAGTACTACGGTTATGTTTAGAAACAACTGAAATAAATTTTTACAAAATTAAGATTTCAAAGAGTATATAAGATTACAACTCATGTAAATTGACTTGCTTTTTAAAGACCTACATACATACATACAAACATAACCTATAAGACGTGGGTAACACGTGGATAACACTGTCATCCAAATGAATTTATTTGTAATAAATAGGTAAGTTTAATGAAAAATACATTGTAATTTTACTTACTAATTTAACTAATTAGACTATACAAATAAATGTTGTAACATATTATTTCCATAATTTTATTCACATTGATTTTTCCTTATAAATAATTCGATGCTGTTATTGTATAAATATAGCTATTAAAGAATAATTTTACTATTATATTTTAACAGATATGAGAATGAAAAAGAGGAAGCTGGAAATGAAAAAGAACATTTATCCGAATTATTAAAAAGAATAGAGGAACGTAAACGTCGGAAAAGTGCTAAAGATTATATTGAAGATTTACAGGAATCAGAATGTAACAAGAAAAAGAGAAAGAGAGAAGAAAATGAACATTTAATAGAAAATAGTAGTATTAGTGAAAATGCTATACAAAATAATAATGAAGTAAAAGAAGAAATAGAAATTGCAGATCAACCAAAGTTACACAGAAAGAAAAGAAGGAAGAAAAAAGGAATTATTAGCAATGAAGAAAATACTATAAAAAATGAAACTACTGAAATTAAAGGAGAAGAGCTACAAAGTGAAAATACAGTTGATCAAGGGAATCAAGTATCTAATAATAATTCAGTAGGTTCAAATACAGTACAGGAGAAGATAATAGAACAACAAACAGATTTTACAGTTTTGGGTAGTAAAAGTAAGAAAGGAAGGCATGAAGTTAAGAGAGTATTACCAGAATGGTTGGCTAATCCAGAAATTATATCGTTTGATTTAAATAGTGGTCCAAGCTTCGAAGAATTGAATTTAATTTTAGATAATAAACTTATTCAGGTTTTAAGAAATAATGGTATCAATAAATTTTTTCCTGTTCAAGGTAGTATGATCTCTTGGTTATTAAAGTGTAATAAAGATAGACAACAAGGATGGTGGTTAAGGGATACATGTGTGTCTGCTCCTACAGGCAGTGGTATGCATTATAAAACATTGATAGAATGACAAGATTTTTACATTTAAATTCTTTAAATTAACAGTCTTTAAATATAGCACAATAAGAGTTAATATTCTTCTAAGGTTATTAGTACATTTGTAATTTTATTTCATTTCTAGGTAAAACTTTGGCATATGTTTTACCAATTGTTCAAATATTACATTCTCGAATGATTCCAAAAATACGTTGTTTAGTTGTTGTACCAGTACAAGAATTAGCCACTCAAGTTTACAAAGTGATGGGTACTTATACATCACATACAAATCTTAAAGTTGGTTTGCTTTCTGGTGCATCTTCATTTCATCAAGAACAAAGTAGCATTTTGAAAAAAAGTATGTGCTTATATAGTTAAAAAAAATGTTCTACTTATATTTTTTATACAATGCAAAATGTTTTCCATAATTTCTGTTTTTAAGGTGTAAAAGGGGACTATGTATCTTTAGTGGATATAGTTGTAGCTACACCAGGACGATTAATAGATCATCTATTAAAAACACCAGGATTTTCTTTGGATGATCTTAGATTTCTTGTTATTGACGAAGCAGATAGAGCTGCAGACTGGTTAGAATATCTTCCTGAGCCTCATTATCGTGCTCCGCGATTAACACTTCACAATCTACGTTGCAGGTTAGTTTTCATTTATTACTGTTTAAAGTGATGTCATTAGGTCTTTATATAAGAAGTATGTACTGCAGTTACATACTATATATCATATCAAATTTATGACTGTTTCTTAAATTTTACATAGCAAAATTCCAGCACAGAAATTGTTATTTAGTGCAACTTTATCACAAGATCCTGAAAAATTGAACCATCTTGGACTTTTTCAACCCATATTATTTACATCTGTTTTGGTATCTGGCAAAGATGATGATGTAAATTTAGATGGGGCAGTAGGTGATTTTTTAGGCCGCTATACAAGCCCTGCAGAATTAACAGAACAGGCAGTAGAATGTGCAACAGAGTATAAACCATTGGCTTTATACCAGCTATTAACTAGAAATATCAAGATTTTTAAAACATTAGTGTTTACAAATTCTGGAGAGACTGTTCATCGATTAGCTATCCTACTTCGGTCACTTTTATCTGAAAAGAATGTAATAATTGGAGAGCTTTCAGCACAACTAACGTCGAAAGAACGAGAAGATGTGCTTACAAAATTTTCTGCTGGAGAAATACAAATGTATGTTTTATTTATTGTTGCATTAAAAAGTAACTTTCAACAAAGTTTCATAATTCCTCTTACACTTTTATTACATTTTCAGACTCATAAGTTCAGATGCATTAGCAAGAGGAATAGATATTTTAGATATACAAGTAGTTATATCTTATGATCTTCCTAAATATATCAAAGCCTATATTCACAGAGCAGGAAGAACAGGACGTGCGGGTAAATCTGGCACAGCAATATCTATTTTAACGTCCAAACAAGTTGGAACCTTTAAACATATGTTGAATAATGCTCATAAAGCAATACCAGATATTGAAAAATTAGAATTGATTGACATTGTAAATGAAATTAATTATTTAAGCCATGTCGAAAAATTAAAGCATGATCTGGAAGAGGAGAAACAATATAATTTATCGCGTGTAAAAGCTACTAAACGAATTCAGCCAGTAATTATAAAATAAGAAGTGTTATTTTTATGTATGAATAATTATAAGTACAAATATACATTATTTAAAACTACCTGTTCATAATTGGTGAATTATTAATTCAATACAAAACAATAGGAGAAGATAAAGAAAACTTACAACATAACATCGATAGTAATATTTTATTGTCTGTAGTTCATGGTTTTTGTTTTATAGATAGTGACAGCATTTTTCAATTATATGATAGTTATCATCAAGGGTCATTGTTTATTGATTTATGATACATAGATATGTTACTACTACTATTATTAACTATTAAAATTGTAACCAATCGCTTCACGCTTACATATGCTATTTATTACATATAGGATATGATAATAATTTTAATAACACAAGCGTATAAAGTGAATTCAATCATTTCATTTAATTTTACCTATAGAATATTTAAAACTATTAAGCATATCGTATAATTTTTAATAAAAAAATAGTAACTATTGCCGATTGCCGCGAAGTGCGTACAGGGGTGCTTTTTAGTAAAGGCGGGATTTCCTATATGCGTCAGACGGGAGCGATTTTCAACTGTTGTGTCTGCGTTAAACGTGTACGTCTGACTATCGCCTGCTCTAGAAGCAGTCTACACGTAAACGCAGTGCGATCCGTGGAATAAAAATGTCCAGCGGCGAACGTATACGCATATAGAAAATCCCGCCTTAAGAGAATTGAAAAATAGCACAGCACTTACCCCAAAACCTTCATCGAGAAAGAAAGCATACATACAATATTTTTTACTTCTGACGTGGAATATATTAATCTAGGTACCACGTGAATTAAGAATTCTTTGTGCTCGTGCGTAAAAATTCAGTTTTGCAAAGAAAACAAAATTTGTGCGGAATGACAAATCCAAGTGATGAATCTAGTGCCTTTTCATTCGAAATCCTTTTCCGTCAATTTGTGGAAGCAACTGAAATTTATTTTTGTATTTCTTTATTTTTATATAAAATTCAAGATACTAGTTGGGTCACGAAATAATTATAATTTTTTATATTTACAAAGTACTTCAAAATATATTGGGAATGCTTCTGCGTGCGAGACCTCACACTGAACCTGTGGCGTAGTTGTCAGAGTAGTAAGAAAATCCCCTATTTTGGTAGTCATTATTATTACTATACGTTAATATAAAATATTTGATGTACATTGAAAATCGTGTCCATGTTTAGAAATTAACACAATGCTAAAACTAAGCTACACTAAATTAACGTATATATGTATATACAAAATTATTTAAGATAAATTTAGCAATATGAAGAAAATGGAAACAGTAATTAATGGCATGGTAGCTCAAGGCAGAAAAACGCTTTTCCTCGAGACGCTGAATATTCCTATTTTCGAACTTTTCGAAACGAACTTTTTCGTAGGACGGTTGAACGGAAGTAGAGGTCGCCACAAACTGTTAAGTGGCGCCACCTGACCGTCACTTTTTCAAAATGTTTCTTTCTACGTGCAGTTTAGTTCAGTCTTTATGTTTCCTCCGTACAGTTTTAATGCGAACATATGGTAATCTCATTTGGTTTGATATTGTGCCGTTATTCGTTATGTCTTCGGTGTCTCAACTTTAACAAGTTATGGGCCCGAGACGATTGCACTGTGATTAAGAGTGCAACGGAAACACACGTCAAAAGAAACGACGTGCAAAAACATGATGTCGAGTATAATTTAATGTTAGGTAAATCGAAGGATCTCTGCGATGCTTCGAGCATGGTGCGAATCAGAATGCCGTTGAAAAATATTTTCGACACGTGGAAAATACATATGAGGACTCTACTAGTCAAGAACCACACGTGGGAGTTAAGTAGTCAGAATGAAAGTAAAGCCTGCAGCGATAGAAGAAAACGCCGTACGCGATAGCGAGGTAATGGCGGACATTATACTGTACGACTACGGATTATCGATAAATTATCTTATTTACATATATTTAACGATATATCAACAATATTGTGAAGATATCGTTAAGGCGAGTAGAAACGACTGACGTAGAATGCCACGCATTAATTGTAACAAAGTCGTTTAAAATTTATTTATTTTTATTGGAATATATCACAGACAACATATTAGTGTTAGAAAGACGCTTGCGGGGCGGCAAAGGGGGCAAGAGGGGTCACACGATCGAATTAGTATGTGTCTGGTTCGACAAATAGTACACTAGAGCTAAAAATGCGTGTGAGATTTCCACTCTGGCCAATCAGATTCGTATTCCTTCCGTTGGACTTTTTTCTAGCAACGCACAATACTGTGGTTGTAATCTTATTTTTCTCTGAAAGAATTTGTCTTGTTTTGAAATACGTATGTTAAAATAGTAAAAAGTAATTTAATACACAAGTACAATATTAAATAAAATAATTTCAACATACAGCCGAGCAACAGTAACAGTATTTTAACATTGGATGCACATATAAGTATAAATGAGTGTGTATTGGCAAATTTTGATAAGAAAATACAAAAAGATAAAATCAAATATTGAATACAATTTTGCATCAATAAAATACGAATTAAACATGTGTTATATTTATATTTATAATATATAATTTATAATGTACATGTAAATATACAAATTTTTTCAGACATAAGAACAAGATTACAGCCAAAATACCCTAATATTTTGTCTGCAATAAGTTTAAGTAAAAATAAATAGATTTGGAATGTTTATATTACAATTAATGCATACCTCTGTCGTTTCTATTCATCTTAACAATATTCTAACGACATTATCGATATATGGAAATATCGATAACATTTCGATATTATCGACATTTATCGATAACTGTACCGATAGTCGCACCTTTACATTGTACCACAGACGACGTGCAGGATAAACCTAATACCTAATGTATTTTTGTGTCTAACGTTCTGAAATACCGACCGTGTAAAAAATCAAAGGACTTGTTATGCTCTCCACGATATAAAGCCATGAGTTTAGGAATTATATACGATTCAACCATCAAAGATGGTAAAGTTGACAGATGTAAAAAATCCTCTTTTGTTAAATCTACATATAAAAATACGTACATATATTGGATTGCGTGGGTAGAACTGTTCACGATCTTTTGACAGCAGTAGAACACGCGCATGTGATGAATCATCTACTAATAAACAATTACGTTACTTTCTTATTTGTAATTTTATAGTTACGTTTAATTCTAATTCCAAGCACTACTAATGTTGTAACTTTATTCTATGCTGAATCGGTAACGTAGGGAGCGACACGAAAGTGGTAAGGGTCTTTTCGGCCCCAGCGCCGCGGACACAAAGTCCCATAAGATATGAAGTATACTCTGTACGTCTTCTGTGATATATATGTTAGCGATTCGACTCTCGGAGCTCAAGCAGGTTAAAGATTGTGCTGCCTCGCGTGCTTTATGGAAAAAACTACAATCGATTTATGTCAATTGATGATTGAAAAAATGATTGAAGACGACGAGATACACATTCACTTGCGAAAATTTTTCGACGCCGCCGACAAATTCAATAAAATGGACGTAACCATTAACAGTGATTTGCTGTTAATATTACTCTTGACAAATCTGTACATTTTTTTATACAATGGAAGTGATGTTAGGGGGCAGAAACATTAATTTAAAATGTTCGTCGTCTCGTAGCTGTTAGGGAATCAAATGCCCCTGCCACGGATTGCAATATGGTCGTCGCGAAACCGATATCGTCCCTCATTTTGAGTCAAACCACTCGAGGAATTTACTCGGGATACGGGACTTAAGTAGTGCACGGGAAGCGTTGAGAAATAATGCTCGAGAGAGTTAACTATTTTAATATTTTGTGTATTTTGTTAATGTATCACTGCGCGAGAATGTAATGGTGTTGACTGTTCGAAAGTTGGCGTGTATCTGTTTTGACGCTGGAAAAACAGTCTTTTATTAACTATTGCTATTTCGCAATTAGTGTAAGAGTGTATGCGGAGGTGGATGTGTGTTTTCCTGATTGGTATAGCTATTTTGTTATGGGTATGGTTTGTGAGGTGATGAAGAGAGAAATTTGGGTCTTTTTTAAGTTATAAATTGTCTAAGGATGTCTGAAAATGGATTGCTGGGACAGATGTTACAAATAACAATATTGCTGTCAGGCGGCCACAAGAAAATACATTTTAAGCATAGGATTATAGTATTATGCTTTATAATTTTTTTTTTCAATTGAAAATAATGTCTAGCTAGCTATGACGTTCAAAATTTTTAGTTGACAACATTTATTTTATTTTAATTATTCTAAACATTTGAGGCACTCCACTCACTGATGACCACCATGGCCATATCGAGGAAACAATCTAACGTTAAAACTTATTGAGTGATTAATTTAATTTCATAATATATCGCTTTAGCGAGCCACCGTTAGGTTGCCAATTGTTTATCACATAGAGTCGGCCTAACTCTACGTAAAAAAAAAATGTAGGGTCGATTCCACAAGTGTCAGTAAAATGTAGGGTCGATAGCAGCAGAAAAGCTGCTAAACAATTAGAATTAAATGTAACGATAGAAATTATTGCAATAATGCGTAATGCAATTGAAAAATTGAAAGAATCAAAAGAAAAAACGCGAATTCGTATCTTTTTCGATTCTAGAATATAAGAAAATTTGAATAAAATACGCGACGAGAATTGGGGAGAAGCATAAGTTAAACGCGTAAAAATATTCAATAATAAACGAACTAGGGATGAAGCTATTATTTCAATACGCGATGCACTGACTCTAGTATTTACTAAAATTCAAAAATTCTCGTATAAATTCCGAAAATAGATTATTAATTACGGTAAACTACTGAGACGGTTTAATTAAGGGTGGGCATGGTGCTGCTTTAGTTTGAAATGATTTATAAACACATAATTAACAGAGGAAAAACCGTGAAACGGCAAAACGTCTACATTCTAATTGTTATAACATGTAAACAGAACTTTAAATTTAGTGTAAACAGAAAAAATATATAATACAATTTATTTCACGGTATTGCAACAAATAAACGTTGAATCAATATTTAATTCGTATAAAAACAATTATTTAACGTAATAATTTTACCTTCACTATGGCTATTTTTAATCTACGACCACAGGTCAACCTGATTTCTAATCCTTACGAACTTTAAATTCAGTCTAAACTGAGAAAATATATAATACAATTTATTTCACGGTATTGCAACAAACAAACGTTGAATAGATTCTTAATTCGTATAGAAACATTTATTTAAAATAATAATTTCACCTTCACTATGGCTATTTTAAATTTACGACCAAGGGTCAACCTGATTTTTAATCCTCCGAACTTGATTTCACAACGAGAAAGTAATAAGATCGTTGAAACGTACTTATTTGTCAAAGAAACTTGCAAAAATGTATAAATAATAATATGTAATGTTTTAACAAATTTTTGGAAGTATAAATTAATAATAAAATTGTGAAAATTAATAAATTATACGTTATTATAACATTAATAGAATTATGACTAAACCGAAGTTCGAAGTCGAGTATTTAAAGTCTGATATTACGTGCCTAGCGAGTGCCGGTAATTGTTAAAATTTGTTTAATAATTAGTAATAGAAATTCTAATTGATTCTAATGTATACAAGTGTTACAAGAAGGCTGAGTGTGTACAGGGTGGACATAGACTAGCTAGTAGCCCCCGACCACTCTATTCACATCTCAGAACCTTCAGGTCAAAATACGCCGCGAAGTGTCTAGGGCCCAGTATAAAGGGTAAATGATTTCGCGGGACATCGGCGGGTCCTTATATACCCTCGGTACCCTCTCCCCAAAGTCATTAGCAAAATCGTCGGTTAGGTCAGGCGGGAAATTTTCGCGGGAAATTTTCGCGGGAGATTCTCGTTATCGTAACACGGTATAATTTATCAATTTTCACAATTTTGTTATAAATTTATACTTCCGACAATTTGTTATAACATTGCATATAACAATTTATACGTTTTTACAATATTCTTCAATGGAAACATAGGTTTTAGCGTTCTCGTTACTTACTCGTGGTTAAATTAATTTCGTAGGGATTAAAAATCAGGTTGACCTGTGGTCGTAGATTAAAAATAACCATAGTACAGCTAAATTTATCGTGTTAAATAATTCTTTTTACACGAATAAAAAATGTATGCAACGTTTGTTTATTATAATATCGTGAAATGAATTATTTGTGCAGTTCTGTGCATTTTCTGTGCAGTTCAACCTAATTATATTACACATTTTCTCTATTCACACTGAATTTAAAGATTATAACGATTAAAAATCAAGTTAACCTGTGGTCATTTATCAAGAATAATCATAATAAAGCTGAAATTATTGTGTCAAATAATTTTTTTAATACGAATTAAGAATTTATTCAACGTTTTGTTGTTACAATACCATGAAATAAATTATATTACACGTTATCTATATTTACACTAAATTTATCGTTCTATTTACATGTCATAACAATTATAACTGCACGTTATGTTGTGTCCGTTTGTTTTTTCTGTGCAGTTCAACCTAATTTACTTAAATTTACGTTGCGAGACAGTAATATTTACAATTCTGCCTGAATTTTATTCGACGGATAATGTGTACAGGTATTTAATGTAATTTTTTAGCAATTTGTTTTTGTAATTCATCCAAAGCGATATATTATGAAATTAAATTAATCACTCAATAAGTTTTAACGTTAGATTGTTTCCTCGATATGGCCATGGTGGTCAAATGGAGTGCCTCAAATGTTTAGAATAATTAAAATAAACTAAATGTTGTCAACTAAAAATTTTGAACGTCATAGCTAGCTAGACATTATTTTCAATTGAAAAAAAAAATTATAAAGCATAATACTATAATCCTATGCTTAAATGTATTTTCTTGTGGCCGCCTGAGAGCAACCTGTAAATCTGGCGTAACAGTCAACGTGTTAATAAGTAAATATTGTTCGAATTATGTCGTGTTTGATGTCATTTTCACCAGAAAAATCTCATCAATATGTTAAGAAAAATTTCGGGATAAAGAAACGTAAAATTAAAGATATTTAAATCGCTTGGTTGCCTGGACTCACGTTTCATGTTCATCTTTTATTCGCTGTCCTTGTCTACGTTCGGCAAACTACAAAGGCGGGCGGGAGGCTCGAAAACGTAGTCCCTGACTCTACGAGTGTCAGGTTTAGCTTCCTTGCGGTCTGACACTTGTGGAGAATATACTGTACATGTAACGTAACGCAGCACGCAATCAATTCATTCTTTCGGGATCAAAATCAAAATGATTACTACAAAATGGTTATCAAAATGATTACTTTGCGCATTCTCAGGGAGGTCATTCGGCTGATCAGTTGGATCATTTAAATGCTCCTCAGGTATTTCCGGAAGGGATAAATTAGCCATTTCTGCCAATATTTGTTTATACACCGCTCGTTTCCTGAGGCTTTTAATAGAATGAGCAGTGCGAGGTGGATCTAGTTTGACTGTTGATAAAATCTACAAATTAATCTCAGTATGGTCATTGGCGTTGAGTTCAGCTTGCGCAATCCCACGCATATCCTCTTTCTGCCATCGATATTTGCGTCGTGTGAGATCTATTTCAGCGTTTACTTTCTCAGGGTGCTTATTCTTTCGATGCACACCAAGGACTATTTTCGAGCGAAACGATCGTACACATTCAGGTCAGTTAAAGATATTGGGTACGCTTGATTGATACTCATCAACTGCCATTGACAATCCAGATGGAACTGAGGGCAAAGACGATGTCGAAGAAGTAGATGAAGTGACAGTAGTACGCTTGACTCCGGACAGCCTTCTCCGGAACGACCTGCATGTGCCTTAGAGTTAAGTACTCGTTCAAAAAATCCCCATACCTGTCTCGCAGGGAATCGTTCGAGGCCAACCGGCGCTCGCAGCTGAGGAAGAGTCGAAGTGCTGTGGACCGGGATGGCTTCAACGCCGTACTGGGCTCTCGTTTGAAAGGCAGTCAAACGAGGTAGCGGCCAGTTGAGTCCCGTGAATGAGTCGCCTGGAATTCCTCCTCGCAGCGTTGCTCCTCCACCGACAAGGGGGATCGGTCCTATAATTAACCCTTTCGCGACTAGCGCCGGTTATATCCGGCACCCACTAAGCGCGTCGCCTCAACAACTCAAAGTGAAGATTTATTACTGGATTTATTTTAAAATACAGAACAAGGCCTCAACAATATTCCTCTAAGATTCCTCTAAGATTTTACACGGACACACTGGGAGCTCCAAAAACGCAACACTCCGTTAGTGGCGTACTGATGCCTAGTTCCGCCGTCGCGAAAGAGTTAAAATGGCTTCACTTGTATGAAGTAATTAAAAATCTTATTAAGTCTTTTATTTAATTCGTTTTTAATAAAATAAGGCAATTATTTGAAATTGTTGTTGCATTATTTCAGAAATCATATCTTTATGGCTTCACTGTATGAAGTAATTAAAAATCTTATTAAGTCTTTTATTTAATTTGTTTTTAATAAAATAAGGCAATTATTTGAAATTGTTGTTGCATTATTTCAGAAATCATATCTTTAGGTAGCAGTGTTTATTTGGCATTCTATTAAATTTTTTATTTTGTCGTAGACTGAGAAAAAGATCTCTTCGGTTATATCTCGTAGTATGCACGTTACATGTTCTTCCATTAGATTTTTATATGTTTCCTCGGCTGTAACAAACGTAAAATAAAAATGAATAAATAATTTGTAGAAATCATGTAATAAATGTAAATACTTATCCTCTACAGTAGCAAATAGCTAAGAAAGTATATCATATAAACGAACATTATTTGTTACATTTACATAAATTATTTTTCAGTATGTTAAAAAGGCATGAAAAAAGGATCCGGATACCCTTCTGGTGAAATGTTAATTTTAAAGGAAGATTGAATAAAAATAAATGGAAAATTATTCGGAATAAATTATTCAAAATCGGAATACTCAGGTAACGCAACTGATCTCTTTTGGCACTAAAAGACAAGTGAGTGCCGAAGCGATGCCGAGACATTAATATCAAGTAATATAAATCGTTTCCCTACTTATTATTTAATAAGTCATTTGATTGGTTCCTAGCTCATTAAGAAAGAGTGGTTTTACATGTTGGCGATGTTTCGATGCCAAGTAACCGAATTCAACGTTTATTTATTAAGCGTCGCTAAGTAATAGTCCGTGGAAGTACTAACAAACTTTTGTTTGTTGCTTCGATTGTATCAGTTAACAGTTTGAATTTGGCGCGTTTAAGTCCATGTCATGTGGAGCCATCTAACATAAGGCCATGTTCACATGGTACCGTAACAGTACCAATCCTTGTAGTTATGTTCATGTGTGGTATTACAAATATTATAAAGCCAAGTTCGCGTGGTAGCTAATAATATAATGAAAACAGTGACTTTTATGCGAAACAAAAAACTGGACTTGGTGGCTCGAGAAGGAGAACGTTTTTCCTTGTGACACGCTGGAAAACGTTCCACGCCGGAAGTAGAAGTCGCTAGCTTTTTGAGGTTTCGACGGATGACGATGTACTGGAAATTGAATTGGCGGGACGGCTGAGCGGAAGTAGAGGTCGCCACAAACCGCCGTCAAGTGGCGCCACCTGTTCGCCACTCTTCCAAAATGTTTCTTTTTTGTACGCGCTGTTCAGTCTTCATGTTTTTTTTCTTTATATGAATACTTAAGCGTGCCTTATTTTGAACATGAATTTTCAAATTACTTTTTTCATTTTATAATGTAAATAGACAGTAAATAATGACGTTTTTCTGTTATACTGTACAGTGGTAAAACTTTATGGTTAACTTTGTGTACTAAAAGTTACTTACATTTTATTGAAAGATGTCCAAAAAGTTCACATATCGCAGGGTTGAAAACAACAGTATCTTTAATTCCTGTACTGGGTTTTCTAGCCCAAATGTAAATTCTTAGATCCTTATGCTCTTCTTGAAGATTTAGTTTCGCTCTTGTAATATAAACATTGTGTGCTATTTCTGCATTTTGTAAATAATTTATTATTAAAAATGCCCAATTGACAAAATTATCTATATTTTGGACGTTAGAATATTTTATACAAAATCCTTTTGCTGGATATTCGTGTAATATTTGCACTGGCCCTGCGTATTCCTTGAGATCCTGAAAATTAACAGCGATGACAATAATACAGGATGTTCCTAGAAATCGTGGTCTAACCGAAAAGAAAGTGATTCTTCTCCTGGGAGAAAATTCAGGGAGTAATTTTAGAAGACGATATAAGACAAAATTTAACAATAAAATAATTGCGTTTGAGGCTTCGGTTTTTAATTATTAACGTTTAAAATATCCCTGTAACCGAGCAAACCTCCCTACACCAATGAATATGTGGCAGAAAATTCAAACAAAATAACTAATAAATTTAATCAAAAGCGATGATATGTTAATCCTGTAAAATTTTGTGTTTATGTAACATAAAATTGATTCTCATATGGTAATATGCAAAAATAGTACTTATTTACAATGTATTCCAATAACATTTTCCAATTCAAATAGTACAGGTGCCAATGAAGGTGGTTTACAGATGCGTAAGCACAGAGACTATTAAAACCCACTCTGAGATACCTGGAAATATTATGCTATAGTTATGACTTTAATTTCCACTTTATTTATGTAATACTTTATTTATTTAAAACTAATACTTTATTTATTTAAAACTATTTTCAAGTGTATACTAATAAATTTTAAGGGATATAGTACGGTATGACCCAGCCATCGTAATGAAACGAAATTTTGAGGAATTGGTGGCCGGCCAAGTTGTTGTAGGCAGAATTCAATGTATGTATAATATACCGAAAGTTTTTCGTTAATATCTGAGAAATTAATAAATATCCGAAGCTAAAATTTTATATTCGGGTCTCCTTCCCCAGTTCCTCAAAATTTCGTTTCATTACCATGGTTAAAAATTAGGTGAAACACATTGTATATACAGATTGTTTAATATAATTTTGAAGATTATTCTTTACTTTAATCTAAAGCATGCATCTAATGTGTACAAACAAATATACATATTTCATTCAAACAAAAACATTAAAAAATCAGTGTACATAAAGTTCTATTGTAGCATTATGAATTCAAAATGAATTCAGTATGTATTCAAAATGAGAGAAAAATACAGTTGGAAACATAAAATGTATATACTGTGTAGACATCTTAGGAGCCACAAAATGCCAATGGTGTTCCCTAAATTGTATACATAGTAACTTTAGTCATTCATTCTGTTATAATTCATTCTGTTTGAAAACATAAGTAAAAATCAAATAGCAACCAAGCTGAATATTATTAATAGTACTATTTTGTTATTTAAAACAAGTCAGAAAAGTATATTCAAAATTAATAGAAAAACTGACACTACTTATAAGGTGATCTGATAGTTTTAACTGAAATGAATTAATGAGAACTAAATTCTTTGTGTTAACTCTATTTCACTATACTTAACATATAAAACATACACATATGAAGTAAATATTTAATATTCTAATGTCCTTTCAATGTAATTCAAAATTTCAACATACTTACAAAGAAGAACTTAATGAAAACAATTCAATAGCTTTGTATAGACTATATTTTGTTACCATTTGAGGCAACTGTTTACATTTTTGTGGTAACAGTAAAGAATGACAATATTCAATCGGACTAACATTGATTGCAATTATATCTTCTTCATTTGTACTATTTAGATTCATTATTTGTTCTTCCGGTACAAGTTTTGTAAAGTTAAAATGTTTTTCATTAAAAGGTTGTTTCATTGATGTAATATTTTCAGGAGATCTTCTTTTATAACCACGATCAATGTTTAACTGAAATTAGTAGATAGTTTCAACATTAAGATTTTACCAATAATTAGGGAAGATTTTTAAAGTAATGTGACTTAATAAAAAATTGTACGTATAGATTTTACCAATAATTAGGGAAGATTTTTAAAGTAATGTGACTTAATAAAAAATTGTATGTATATTTAAATGGAATCAGATTTATAGTTTTAACTTATAAAACATTAAATAATTTTAATAACTTTTAAGTGTAAACTGGCAATAATTGCAAAGTACTACACTTATGTTACATTTTATTCTTTACAACTACTACTTTTATTATTCCTCCTGAAATATAGAATACTGTGTGGGAAAGTAGATGCACTGCTATCCAAAAATTTATGTATCCAGTCATGTTTCTTGTCAACTTAAATACACTAGAGATTGTATTGTATTTATACTATGGATAGGAAGAATAAATCATAATATTGTCAAAAACTGTAATAAGTAAATAATAGTACTAAGTAAAACACAATTGTATAATTTTGTTCAAAATATAAGGTGAAACATTCAAATTGTCATTCTGTAAACTTAAAAATTAATATAATTTCTTAGTGATTATAATATTACCTGTGCCAAGAATTTATATTTTCCATCCAATATCTTTGAATCTTGAATGTTTAAAACATAACGAAATAATCTATTTTCTTGAGCTTCTTTCCATCTTTTTGTCAAAATGGAATCAAAACTAGATTTCTGATCTTTTTCGTTATTTTGAATAAAGTCACAATTTGCTTCATTAAGGGAATTGTGAGACATAGTCTTTTTAAAAAGAAAGTAAAGTTAAACTTTAAAATTACTTTAAATCTATACCTAACCTATGTCCACATACGGAGCAAGCAAACTTCACAACTTTAGTACTACAATATATTGTCACACAGAGTGACGTTTGTCATTTATCGATTTCGATTTGGCAAAATCAGTTCGTCAGGTATAGTAACCGTAGAAATATAGCGTGTCATAAAATCTGTCGAACGAAAATTACACATATTCCAAGCGTTTGAATTGTAATTTAGGCGATAAAGTTCAGGGAGGAGTTAGGCCCAGGAAGTGGGAGATGGCAGAGAATTTGTTACATTTTCGCTGATAGTTAGCCAATCACGATAGAGTAAGGTTATGACACTTATTCTTCTATGAACAAAGATAATAGGCAATGATCGAACTTCGCGTGAGTAGTTGGTAATAGATGAACCACATGTCGATTTTTGAGGCATAGAAATGGTGGCTGTTGATCTGTAGTGGCATGCCTTTCTTCATTTCTGTCAGAAATTTTTGGGTTTATAAGCAATTTTTTAAAGGTAATTATTTGTATTATTGAGAAATAACAAAAATATTTTCTTTTCACTTTTCTAAATCTTAAAACAATATTAATACATTTCCTGAGGTTTCCTTTACAATAACAGTTTTCTGTACTTGAGTATTTTGGAAATTAATGTTTTAGGTGCAATTAAATGTAAATATACATTCCTCAACAGATCTACACTTAGGAAAGTTACATGTATAGTGTCAATTGGAGGAAAGAAATCCAAGTCTACGCAACAAAAGTATTAGCGAGAAATCCGCGTGGGTCAGCAAAGACCCGGATTTGTTTGGTTATCAAAATATGTGCTCTTTCGGAACGGATAACGCTTTTTCTGATTTTGTTTTATAATATCCAAAATACTGATATTAGTTTACGTGGCCATATTAAAGTAAGCGCTTCGTATTATTAATATAATCTACTGTATAGCTGAACTTTGAATATAATTATAACTTAAAAATTCTGGAAATTATATGTAATGATAAAAATAACGAATTTA